GGCTGTGGGGAGGGGGAAAGGAGGTGTTCTTGTTCAATAGACAGAATTTCAGCTTTACAAGATGTAAAAATTATAGAGGTCTGTAGCACAACAATGTGCATATAGTTAACACTACTGTACTTCATACTTAAATAAGGCTAGGATGGTAAGTTTTATGTTATGTGTTTTTGACGAAAATAAAAAAAAAATAGAACTGCTGAGTGATAGGGTATGCATATCTTCAGCTACAGAAGATAAAGCTATATGGTTTCCAAAGTGGTTGTGCCCATGTACACTCTCACTTAGTGTATAAGAATTGCAATTGCTTCACATCCTCACCAACATTTGGTATTATCATACTTTTTAAATTTTGCCAATCTGATGGACTATTCTAATTTGCTTTTTATTGATTGCTAGAGAGCTTGAGTACGTGTTCGGATGTCTATTGGATTTCCACTTAAGTGAATGGCTTACTCATGTTGTTTGCACATTTTTCTATTGTTCTGGTTGTCTTTTTCTTACTGATTTTTAAAATCAATTCTTCATATATTTTGTGTACAAATCCTTTATGAGTCACTGAGTAGCAAATATTTTCTAGTTTATGGATTGTCTTGACATTTTGTAAATAGATCCTTTAAAGAAAACCTTTTTTGTTTGTTTGTGTGTTGTTGTTGTTGCTGTTGAGACACAGCCTTACTCTGTCGCCCTGGGTAGAGTGCAGTGGCGTCATCATAGCTCACTACAACCTCCAACTCCTGGGCTATAAGCAAGCCTTCTGCCTCAGCCTCTGGAGTAGCTGGGACTACAGGCACCTGCCACAGTGCCCAGCAGATACTTTTTTTTCTTTCTGGTAGAAACAGGGTCTCACTCTTGCTCAGGCTGGTCTTGAACTCCTGAGCTCAAGCAATCCTCCTGCCTTGGCCTCCCAGAGTGCTAGGATTACAGGTGTGAGCGAGCACACCTGGCCTAAAACAAGTTTTTAATGTAGTTGAACTTATCCATCTCTTCTATTATGATTTACTCTTTTTGTATCTTATTCTAAGAAATCTTTCCCTACCTTCACATCATAAAGACATTCTATGTTTTCTCCTAAAAAATTAAAGTTATGCTGTAATTGATTTTGGAAGAAGTGCGAGAACTGGCAATGAGAAATCAAGAGAGGCTTTCTTTCTTTACGTAAAAGGCAGATGCCAAAGATCATCTGTCGACACAGAATTAGAGCTGAAGTTGCTACAGAGAGAGTTGGTTTAACCCTAGGAAGGGTTTCCTGTCTACAAGGGTTTGCAAAGTTTCAGAAACTTATTGAAGCAATGGAATCATTTCATTTTGTTTGGTAGCAGGGGATGGGTGCTTGCAGGTTGTTAAATACTAGAAAGATTATAATTTGTCTGGGAGGAAAGAGGTGGAGAGGTGAAGAGGCAAAGAACAGACAGAGTGACTCTCCAGTTCTCTGTGAGCCTAAGTGTATCACCAACAGGCAGCAAGGAACAAACTAAAAGAAAGTGTGTACCCCTGCTTCCCTACTTACCCCCTTACCCTTCACCTGGAACATTCTGTTTAGTGGAAACAGAACCATCACAAGAGAATATGGCCAAACACAGAGTGGAAAGGACAAAAGGCAAAGCATTGAGAGTTAGAAATACTCTACCTGAGGACCAACAAGTGCGTGGATTCACTTTCCCTGAAGCCTTTGAAAGTTGGTCTATAAAGGCTTTAAGTGGAGGAAGGAGGAGATGACCTCTGCAGGTGACCTCTGGATCTCCATGGAGGACGTTTTTTGAGTTTTATGGTTGGGTCAGCTGAAAAGTCCTTCTCATTCTTCTTAACCTAGGGTATCTGCCCCAAAGAGGAGGAAGTTTCAGAAGCAGTCTGTGGAGAAGGTCTGGGGAGAAAGAGGAGACAGAAAGCCTGTCCTCTAGAGCAGGGCAGAGGAGTGGAGAGGAAAGCTATAGAGAGACAGACTGACAGAGTGGGGATGGATGGTGCTCTTGGCCCCTCCAAAGGGATATCACCATCAATCTTTAGTTTTTCATCCCAGGCAGGTGAAGGGAGCGAGAGAGGAAGGACAATGCAGTGTAAATTATTACACGGCCCTTGGCTTTCTGAGAACCACCAGTAAAAGAGATTTATGAAGTGGAACTTAGAGCATAGGGTTCTAGAAAATGCTCTGACCAACTGGATTTGTGCATGTGTGTGTGTTTGCGTCACTCCCCACCCTGTGCGTGTACACATATTAATACATTCACCCCCACAGAAACAGCATGTATGCCATAGTGCGCAGCACGATTTCATTATACCTTTCAGAAGCAACCCTGCCCATTCTTCTCTTTCCACACAGGCTCCAGGCTAGATCCCACCACTGCTGTGGGTTTTGTTCAGGTCGACATTGTGTGTGATGCTGTAAAAGTGGTGAGGAGTTGCAGATGTCTGCACCAAAGATTTTGGATTGAATATAGGAGATGATCATTCTTGAGGAAGGACACGAGGAAATCAGTGTTTTGTGCAGGTTATTGTGTTAACTATTACATGTAGGAGGAGTTAAGATTTGATTGACTAGAGATAGGGAGACTAAGGAGACCGTGCTGTGGAATAGATGCAAAAGGCGACTCCTGGAAACTTCAGCTAAAAAATTAAAATCGTAATTGCAAAGACCAGACAGACTGAACCTGGGGGAATGTGTACCTGTCTCTCATCTCCTATTTACAATTTCGCGGGAGTTGGGGTACTTCCAGGGGCTGGGGAAGACAGACTTTTGATCTCGTGCTGTTGGGCGTTCTAATGAGGAAGCCTGCTGCCCTGTCTGGGTTTCTCCAGAATTCACTCAGAAGCTTGCAGATAAGGACTTCTGAGCCAAACCCATGGCCAAGTCCTGGCTGGTTTGAAGCAGCTTCTTAAACAAACTGAGAGAGGGAAAGGGAAAGGAAGATTTGGGCTGTTGAGGGAGCAACCCAGACATCCTCTCATCTATGGTTGACTCTTAAAGCACCCCACACTGATCATGACCACTCTTTCCCAATAAGCCTTCCTTTTTTCATTTGATTAAGGGTTGGGAAGTTACTTTTGATGTTTAACTTCACTTCCTCATGCTTCAGTGGTAATAACATCTAGGACATGAGTGCAGAAGATTTCAATAAATGTAAAAGTAATTACAAAGTCATCATAGAGCTTCATGATATAATTTCAGCTGTATTTGTATTTGTTTTTATTTGCCATTTATTACATTGAATCATATAATATACAATTGCTGGCATTTTTGATGACTTTGGCCTACAAAAATGACAATCCTGTAAGTTTCAACTGAATATTAGGAACTTACCATGTGCGCAGTGTAGTGGTTCACATCTGTAATCCTAGCACTTTGGGAGGCTGGGGTGAGAGGATTGCCTGAGCCCAGGACTCTGAGGCTGCAGTGAACTATGGTTGCACCACTGCACTCCAGCCTGGGTGACAGAGCAAGACCCTGACGCAAAAGAAAAAAAAGAACCTACAATGTGCTGAATAAGACTACAAGGCAATTTGATGTAATGGTTAAACCCAGAGCCAAACTGCTTTTTATTTTCTGGCTCAGTTCCACCATCTAGTCTTGTGTCAGTCGCTTAAATTCTCTGTGTCTCTGTTTTCTCATCCTTAGAATGGAGATAGTATTAATAACGGTGCTTACCTTACAGAGTTGTTGTGAGAATTTAAATGAGCTGTTATTTCTGAAACACTTAGAACAGTGCCTAACTCAAAGTAAGCTCTCTATCAGTATTGACTATTATTATGTGCCAATCACTGTTATCTCATTTAATTTTATTATTAAATATTTTGGGCATGCAAAAGTGTGTAGATAATAAGAAAATTAATACCTCTATGTCCACCTTCCAGCTTAGACATAAAATATTACAAATATACTGAAAACCCCATGAGTACACTCCCCCTAACACATTACTGTCCCTCTATTCTTGGAGATAATCTCTGTCCTGAATTTGATGCCTGTCATTAGCCTCAAAGTGTTTATACCTTTAGTACATATGTATGTAACATGTGCCATATATAGTATTGATTTATTGTTTCTTAATTTGTAAAGCAGTGTCATACCACACTTATCCTTCTTCAACTTGCTTTTGTTGTTCAGCATTATGTTTTTGATATTGATCTATGTGGATGCATGAAGCTCTAATTATTTACTCCTTTTAACTGCTGCATAGTATTATGGTATACCAATGTAAAGAGTGTGCCATAGTCTATTTAGCCATTCTCCTTTGAGAGAACATTGAGGTTTCTTCCAAATCTTAGCTATTACAAACTCATTATTTAATTTAATCAGCCAATTTTTACTGAGTACCTACTACTTCCCACCACTTTTTCAGCCACTGGGGAGTCAGCAGTGAACAACGAGACACAAATCTATATCCTCAAGGAGCTTACAGAGTAGAAGGGGGAAACAGTTAAGAAACATAATAAACAGGTAAACTATGTAATATGTTGGAAGTGCTATGAGAAAAAAAAATTGAGATAAAGGGGATGGGGAGTGTTGAGGTGGTTTGTGGTTTTGACAGGGTGGTCAAGGAAGGCCTTATTGAGAAAGCGACATTTGAACAAAGACCTGAGGAGGTGAGGAAGTGAGCATGTGGGTATCTGAGGACAGCCCCATGCAGAAGGGACGTTAGTGAAAGGTCTAGGGATTGGAGTAATGCTACAAAGAATATTCCAGTTCATTTCATAACCTTCCCAACATGATATTGTCAGACATCTTTATTTTGCCAACGTGATGGTGTAAAATGATTCTCATTGTTGCTTTTACGTGCATTTTTCTGATTACTAGAGAGTTGAATATCTTTTCATATTTTTATTGGCCTTTCAGGTTTTCTCTGTGACTTTCCTGTTCATAATCTTTGCTCATTTTTCTATTGAATTGTTTGTCTCTTTCTTATCGATTTCGAGGAGTTCTTTATATATCTTGAATATTAATCCTTTGTCCAATATATACATTACAAATATCTTCTCCTAGTTTGCAACTTAAATATCCAAGATATTTGTGATGTTTTAAAAAGAATTAATAGAGCTCTTTGCCTTCGGCGCGCTACCGAAGATCCTGGTATCGCCATGGGCCGTCGCCCCGCCCGGTGTTACCGGTATTGTAAGAACAAGCCATACCCAAAGTCTCGTTTCTGCCGAGGCGTCCCTGATGTCAAGATTCACATCTTTGACCTGGGGCGGAAGAAGGCAAAAGTGGATGAGTTCCCGCTCTGTGGCCACATGGTGTCAGATGAATATGAGCAGCTCTCTTCTGAAGCCCTGGAGGCTGCCCGTATCTGTGCCAACAAATATATGGTAAAAAGTTGTGGAAAAGATGGCTTTCATATCCGAGTGAGGCTTCACCCCTTCCATGTTATCCGCATCAACAAGATGTTGTCCTGTGCTGGGGCTGACAGGCTCCAGACGGGTATGCGAGGTGCCTTTGGAAAGCCCCAGGGCACTGTGGCCAGGGTGCACATTGGCCAAGTCATCATGTCCATCCGCATCAAACTGCAGAACAAGGAGCATGTGGTTGAGGCCCTACGCAGAGCCAAGTTCAAGTTCCCTGGTCACCAGAAGATCCACATCTCAAAGATGTGGGGCTTTACCAAGTTTAATGCGGATGAATTTGAAGACATGGTGGCTGAGAAAAGGCTCATCCCAGATGGCTGTGGGGTCAAATACATCCCGAATCGTGGCCCCCTGGACAAGTGGCGGGCCCTGCACTCATGAGGGCTTCCATGGTGCTGTCCCCTCATTGGTGCCCACCAATAAATTCTACTTTCTCTCCAAAAAAAAAAAAAAAGAATTAATAGAGTATTTAATCTTAATTTCACAAACTTTTCCTTAAGATTTGTGCTTTTCATGTCATGTCTAAGAAATTCTTTTGCATTCTAGGGTCATAAAGATTTCTCATTTATTCATTTGACAAATATATTGAATGCCTACTATGTGCCAGGAACTGTTCTAGAATTGGGGAATACCATTGTGGATGAGATAGATTAAAGGCCCAACCTTATGGACTCAGGTTCTAGTGTAGGAGAGAGACAATAAACAACAGGTAAATAGAAAATAAAATATAAAGAGAAATAAAGCAGGATAGAGAGACAAGGAGAAACCAATAGGCTGCTATTTTAGACAGTAGTCAGGAAAGGCCTCCCTGAGAAGGAGACATTCAGCAGAGACCTGAATATGGTGAGTGAGCGAGAAATGGGAATATCTAAGGAGAAGAGCATTCCAGGCAGAGGAAGCAGTAAATGCAAAGGCCCTAAGATACCAGCCTGCTTGGTGGGTTACAGAACAGTTGAGAAAATGGCTAGTGTGGCCAAATGGCATAAGCAAGGGGAAGAGAGGTAAGTGGTTACTTAGAGAAGAAGCCAGGGATTTTATTCCATGATGAGAAGCCACTGGAGGATGTTAAGCATGGGACTGATTTACTTTTTAAGGTTCACCGTGACTGCTATCATAATATCCAGGAGGCAAAATGGAAGCAAGACTGGTTAAGAATTAATTGCTATATTCTAAATGAGAGGTGATGGTGACTTAGCAGCAGTAGAGAAAATCTTGAGAACTGGTCAGATTCTTAAAAAGGATATGACCCCAAAAGTACAGGCAACAAAAGCAAAATAGACAAAGGAGATTGCATCAAACTAAAAAGCTTCTGCACAGCAAAGGAACAAATTAACACAGTGATAAGACAATCCACAAATTGGGAGAAAATATTTGCAATCATACATCAGATAAGGGGCTCATATCCAAAATATATAAGGAACTCAAACTATTCAATAATAAGAAAACAAATGACCCTATTAAAAATGGGCAAAGAACCTGAATAGACATTTCTCAAAAGATGACATACAAATAGCCAATAGATATATGAAACTGCACAATACATTTTGAAGTTAGACCTAATAATATTTTCTAATGGATTTCATGAGGATTATGTGAGAGAGAAGTTAGGATAACTCCAAGCTTTTTGCCTCAGCAAATGGATAATGCTATTTTCTTCAGTGGGGAACATTGCAGGAGAAGGTTTGGTGGGAAAATGAATATTTTGTTCTGGAACATGTTAATTTTGAGATGTCTGTTAGACATCCAAGTGGAAATTTTGAATTGGAAGTTGGATACATGAGTGTGGAGTTTAGGGAATAGGTATAAGCTAGAGATATAATGAAAATCATTCACATAATAATGTTTCTTTCCTTAAATTCTCATATATTTTCCTCTAAAGGCATTGCACTTTTGCTCTTTAACATTTAGGTTTCTAATCCAGTTGGAATTTATTTTTTTATATAGTGAGAGGAAAGGACTAAACTTTCCCTGCCATGTGTATCCCATTGTCCACAGCAGCATTTATTAAACAGTCTGGCCTTTGCCCCACTGGTTAGAAATGTCAGATATCAGATTTAAATAGTGCTGGTCTATTTCTGGGTTCTCTATTCTTTTCAATTAGTCAATTTAACTATCCCTATGCAAATGCTACCCTGTCTTAATCATTTTGTGATTTAGTCAGGGCTTAGTGCAAGAATAGGAACAAATCTAGGTATTTCAAGCAGAAATGAATTTACTACAGGGAATTCGATATTGACAAACTTGTTGGAAAGGCTAAAAGAGCAGGAATCAGAAGGTACCATCAAACTTACAAGTTGAAGAACATAGCACCATGGTTGTGATCCAGAGGCCAGGAAGCTGTTGCCTCCACCATCACGGCTGCCAGCACTGCCTATATATGCCCCAAAGCTTCTGGGAACAAGGTCGTAGTTGGTATTTTTAACTTTCTTGGTCAACTGCCCATTTCATGTTGTTTTTGCCTTCAGTCAGAACCTGAATTATTCCAGTTCCTGGTAGAAAGACCCAAACTTTTGTCCCTGACGGATCTGCGCCTTTAGTGGTCTTGCCTGCACTGGGTTGCTCTAATCTTCCACTAGCTTTACTCCTGGACATAGAGGTACTATGAGGAACCCCAGAGGATTTTCTGGGTTTTAAGCATACTTCTGTCTACCCTTATTGTGAGACAACCACCCTGTTTCACCCCAGCTGGTACAGGAACCCCTTTGCCTGTTGCTTCAGTGGCACGAAGAATACAGAATGGGCAGAAGGCTGTAAAGCTCTGCTAGGAACGAACACCTCAAAACCAGCAGAATGCAAGAAAAATGTTCAAGTAGGTCATTATGTGCAACTCTGAGAGGAGTCAGCCCTGCATACATTCCTGGGTACCTAGATCCATGTATTCTGGCTATGGGAGAAATATCTCCAAATATGGCTCTCCAGTCAGTCTTATAAGACAGCACCCCAACCTCATGAAGTGTTGTCTCCAGCTGGCTCTGTAACAGAGTCTTCAGTAGGCCATTCTACCATTCTGTAAAGTCAGCTGCCTACAGATGATGGGGTACATGGTAAGACGCTTGATTACCATGATCATGAGCTCATGGCTTCACTTCTTTTGCTGTAAAATGAAAAGTTCAGATAGAAAAGTTATTGTATGGGACACCATGATGGTGAATAAGACATTTACTATGTCTGTGGATGTTGGTGCTAATAAATAGAAGCACTGTGGTCAGAGAAGGCAAATCCGTATTCAGAAGAAGTATCTATTCCAGTGAGAACAAAGCACTGCCTTCTCTGTGATGGACAGGGTCCACTATAATCAATCTGCCTTGGCTAGTCTCCTAGGTTAGAGCATCATATGGCTCCTTAGTGGTCCCTGCGGTTGGCGGATTATCCCTTATAAGGTATAGTAGTAATATCTAGATCTGCCTTGGTGAGAGAAAATCTGTTTTGTTGAACTCATGCATGATTTCCAATCTTGCCACCACAGTTACCGTGTTAATGAGCCCCTTCAGTAAGCCCTGGGTGGCTTGATAAAGAGGCTGACGGACATTTACAGAACCAGGTCATCTTGTTCACCTGATTGTCAAGACCTATTAGTGCCCTTTGATGAGTAAGTACTCACCAATTTGTAGTTTTGTTGATTCTCCTTACTGTATTTTTGTCTTCTACTGTTAGCTCTTACATTTATCATGTCTTTCCATCTTTGGTGGCAAGGGGAGGTTGCTGTGACATTTTTTGGTGACTTCTTGAGTTGGGGTCTTAGATCTGTTTTTCTTTCTTCTTTTCTAACATATTAACATTAAAAATCTCTTTTAAATGCTACTTTAATTGTATCCCACATTTTTTAAAGACAATTTTTTAAAGCAGTTTTAAGTTCACAGCAAAGTTGAGAGGACGGCACAGAGATTTTCAATCCCTGTCCCCACACATGCACAGCCTTCCCCGTTATCAACCTCCCCCCAGAGTGCACATTTGTTACAATTGGTGAACCTACATTGACACATCATAATCACCCAAAGTCCATAGTTTACATTCGGGTTCACTCTTGGTGCTGTTCCCACATGTTTTGATTGTGTATTTTCTTTATTGTTTAGTCTAAATATTATCTAATTTTCATTATTAGTTATGTTTTAAATTCTGTTCTTAAATTTCCATGCATATGGAAATTTTATCCTTCTGTTATTGATATCTAAATTAATTGCTTGTGTTCAAGAAATGTGATCTGTATAACACTGATTCTTTTTATTTGTTAATATTTGTTTTGTGCCCTAGTGTATGGTCAATTTTTGAAATGTTCTCTATGTTACTTTCTTTTTTCTTTTTTTTTTTTTAGACAGGGTCTCACTTTGTCACCCTGGCTGGAGTGCAGTGGTGTCATCATGACTCACTACAACCTCAGACTCCTGGGCTGAGGTGATCTTTCTGCCTCAGCCTCCTGAGTAGCTGTGAGTACAGGCATGTGCCACCATGCCTGGCTGATTTTTCTATTTTTTGTAGAGATGGGATCTTGCTATGTTGTTCAGGCTGGTCTTGAACTCCTGCCCTCAAGTGATCCTCCCACTTCAACCTCCCACACTGTTGGATTACAGGTGTGAGCCACTATGCCCAGCCAAATGTTCTCTATGTTCTTAAAACAAATGTATATTCTCTAATTGTTGCATATAGAATTCTAGGTATATATATCTGAATGTGCTTGTAATTGTGTTATTCAAATCTCCCATGTCTCTACTAATTTTTGTCTGCCAACTTACTAATTACTAGAAAGTTATGTTTTTTAAATCTCCAACTATTATGGTAAATTTGTCAATTTCTTCTTGTAGATTGTTTTATGTATTTGAAGTGGTTACATAAAAGTAAAGAATTGTTATTTCTTTCCAGTGAACTGTTACTTTAAGACAAAAAAAAAAACTACGGTTTTTTTGGTCTTAAAGTCTATTTTTTTATTGTGATACAATATATATAACATAAAACTTACCACTTTAACCAGTTTTAAGTATACAGGTCAGTGGCATTAAGTACATTCACATTGTTGTGCCCTGTCCATCTCCAGAACTTTTTCATCATCCCATACTGGAACACTGTACCCATTAAACAATAACTGCCTATTATCTTCTCCTCTCAACCCCCAGTAATCACTGTTCTATGTATATTAAAGTCAATTTTGTCTCATATTAATACATCAATACCATCTTATTTGGTATCTTTTTCCATTCTTTTACTCTCAGCCACTGTGTATCATGATTTATAATAGCACATAACTAAAAGTTTAGTCCCGTCTGATGATCTCAATCTTTTAACTGGTGAATTTAGTCCATTTATGATTATTGAGTTTACTGATAACTTTTTGTTTTATATGTACTGTTTTATTTTGTGCTTATATTTTCCAGGTGTCTCTCTTTTTGCTTTCTACTGAAATGACGAAAGTTTTTATTTGTTTGTTTTTGAGACAGGGTCTCATTTTGTCACCCAGCCTAG